GGCTGGCTGCAGAGGGAGGCCGGAGCCTCTGGGTTTGGCTGCTGCAGCACAACCGAAGCAGGAGAACAGGAGCAGGGGGGAGATGGCTCGTGTCGCGGGTACGACTGTGCTGCACAGCCCTGCAGCTGGAGTGCCTCACGTGGGCTTTGGGGGACGCTTCTGGGAGGCACGGGGCATGCCCAAGAAGTCGCTGTGCCCTCGACCAAGCACACAGACCGAGGGGAGCCAGGCAGCGAGCAGAGGGCCCCCTCCCCAGGCTGAAGCAGACAGAGTTCCCAGTGCTTTAGCAGAAATGATTATTTATTGGAGCAGTTTGCTGGGCTTGGGGGTGACTTCTCCATCCCTTGGGGTTTGCACTGAGATGGGAGGTATCCCTGCAAGCTGCAGTCTGTATCTCAGTGCTCCAAACTTCTGGCCTGCCCTCTGCAAGTCAGTGGGGTGATTTGGGCATCTCCCTGCCCTGCCATCTGTCCTTCCTGGAGCGTGTGTTAGCGTAACCGAGGGCCCCCTCCCCAGGCTGAAGCAGACAGAGGCCCAGACTCCTTCCCAGTGCTTTAGCAGAAATGATTATTTATTGGAGCAGTTTGCTGGGCTTGGGGGTGACTTCTCCATCCCTTGGGGTTTGCACTGAGATGGGAGGTATCCCTGCAAGCTGCAGTCTGTATCTCAGTGCTCCAAACTTCTGGCCTGCCCTCTGCAAGTCAGTGGGGTGATTTGGGCATCTCCCTGCCCTGCCATCTGTCCTTCCTGGAGCGTGTGTTAGCGTAACCCCTGCTGGGCTAGAAACAGCAAGAAGGGCCAACAAGGTGAGAGGATCTCAAACCACAGATGAAACTGTAGAAATCATGGCAGGCAAATCCTGAAAGGGAGAGAGATGGTAGCAGAGTCTCTAGATGCTGGGCATCAGCCTTGTGCCCACAGCCCCCTCTTCTCATCTCCGCAGGATGTGCAGGTCCCTGTGTGTCCTCTCTGCAACACCCCAGTCCCCGTAAGGCGGGGGGAGATGCCCGATGTCGTGGTGGGGGAGCACATTGATCGTGACTGCAAGTCTGACCCTGCACAGCGCAAGCGCAAGGTAGGAGCCTGGGACTCGCCACTCCGCAGAGCCTGTTTCCCTGAGCTATGCGCTGTGCTTTTCTGATACTGCTGGTCCCAGGTGGGACAAGGTGCTGAGCTCAGCGGAGTCCCTGCTGAATACCGGGGGTAGGATGAAAACAACACACAGCCTGACCCGGGGCCCGTGTAGCCTCTGCTTGCACAGGCTGAGGACAGAAAGGTTGGTGAGATGGAGGTATGCACGTCTGCAGAGCTTTGTGGTGCGAGTCTGGGGCTGAGATAGCAACGGGGCGGGACTGGGCTGCCGCATGGGGCAGAAGGAAAGGCAGGATGACATTCAGAAGCTACAAACTGCCATTAGAAAAATACTATCAGCAATTAGTTGCCCCTTCTTGCCAGGGAGAGGAAAGACCAGTGGAAGCTTTCGCTGTCAGCCCAGCAGCAGCAGCTCTGGTGGGTGGGGGGTAGGAGTCCTTGAGCGAGGCAGTGTCTCTCCTACTGCAAGTTCTGTGTCCCTGAGGAACTTTTTTCTGTAAAGGCTGAGGCACCAGGGAGTTATTAATAAATTTTCTGAAGAAAACTTGTCCTCAAGCACAAACTTCAGAGTCCTGCCGAAGCGGCGCTGGCAGAGGGGCTGCTTGGTGCCAAGGGCTTGTCAAGGTGGGAGAGGGAAGGGATGGCCCCCTGCAGGACGTGTCCCTTGTCACTGCCACCATGTCTGCCTTCAGATCTTCACCAACAAGTGTCTGAAGCCCGGCTGCAAGCAGAAGGAGATGATGAAGGTGATATGTGACCAGTGTCACAAGAACTACTGCCTCAAGCACCGGCACCCCCTGGACCATGACTGCAGTGGGGCAGGGCGTCCCCTCTCCAAAGCTGGGTGAGGGGCTGGCAGGGGCAGGGCTGGGCTTGTCAGAGAGGTGACAGGGAGGAAGCTGAATTCTTCCTGCCCCTAGCCGCTTGTCTGGGACTGCTGCATCGTCATACTCCCTGCCCTTGAGCGCCGTTGGGAGGACGGGGAGCGGGAGCTGGAGATGCCAGTGAGGTGTCTTATCCAGCTCCATCTCCCTGGGCATTCAGTGCCCAGGGGTGGCCTGTGATGGATAAAAGTTACAGGCATGCTGTCTGTCCTAGACACGCTGCAGTTGCAAGAGCTGAGGCATCCTCTTCCAAAGCAGTCACTGTGTCAAGCAGCGGAGCTTCCCGGCCAGCAGACAGCCCCTCTGCTCCAGCCTCTGCCAGGTATAGCGACATCCCCAACTCTTAATCCTGAGATAGGCATGACCAGGCTCAGCTTGACTCCCTCTGGGACACAGGAGTGACAGCTACCTGCTTCCTGTGCATGGACAAGGCTACATACTCATGTCAGTGCTCCCTGCCTTGACAATAACCCTACTTCTCTCCCGTTCACAGAGGAGGCAGAGCAGCCACATCCCAGACTCGCAGCGCCTCTCCTCCGGCTGTCCTGCTGCAGAACGGACTGGTGAGTGGCCTGGTGTGCACCCTCAGGGCACTTTTGGCTGGGTCCTGTACCCTGGGCAGCGACTGCAGCAACTGCTTTGTAACCCGTGCTCTAGAGTATGAGCACTAGAGGGGAACAAAGAGCTGAGCTGGGCTCTGAAATGCTCAGCAGTGACTGCAGTGCACCCTCGCTGGCCTTCCTGTGGGAACAAGGATCCCAGGTGCTCAGCAAGGTGTCATATCAGCAGAGCTTGGCCTGCTTGTGAAAGGCACCAGTCAGCCCTGCTCAGTGCTGTGAGCCTCCCCCAGAGGGACAAAGTGCCCTGGCCTTTTTCTCCAAATATTGCCTTTCTGTTCTGCAAGCTGAGTGCAGAGAAGGAGGATAGAAGCTGCTTTCCACTGGTATTCTCCAAAATGCTCTCTGCGCAGGCAGCCAGGGCTGCACTCTCTGGGGGTAAGAGAGAGATGGGAATCTGTTCTCTGCTGAGGTGTGCGGGGCTGTCTCCTGCCATCCCCAGGCAGGCTGGTGACAAAATGTTTTGTTTCAGAGCGAGGAAGAGGCGCTGCAGCGAGCTCTGGAGATGTCCCTGGCAGAGTCAGCACAGAGCTCTGTGCAGCCACCCAGGTAGGGCCCAGAGACACGTCATGTCCGAGCCTGCGTGTGAGAGGTGCCCAGGGCAAAGTCATGTGGCTTTGGGATGACGTTTCTCTCAGCACGTGGCTAGATGATGTCTCTGCCTGATCGATGGGGAAAAAGGGATGGATAGTCCAGAGCCAGCACAGAGCTCTGTTTCAGGAGCAAGCCCTCCAGCATGCTGGGAGGGGACAGTGACAGCACATAGTAGAGCAAGCTGTTGTCTGACTGCTTGTCAGCTAGTGGGCATGGCTGGAGCATGTCAGAGCTAGAACAGGGGTGCTCCCAGAGGAGGTGCAGAGCCCAAGTCCTTGGGCATGTTAGATGCTGCTAAAAGCACCATCTTACAGGCTGGAATTAGAGGCGTTCGGAGAACATGACTCTCCTGGGTGTAGGGTGTTGGCTGCCAGCCCCAGATGGATCCTTCATTCCCTCCCCAAAGCCCCTGCCCTATTTAGGGTGATTTGCTGTTGCTCCTTGCCCTTAGTTGTCCTAAGGCACTGGTCGGGGATGCCTGCCACCCCAAAGGGCTCTGACTGCTGGGGCTGGTGAGCCTGGGGGAAGTCTGAGGCACGCAATGCATTCCTGTCCCCAGCAGCACGCAAGAAGAGGAAGATCTGGCACTGGCCCAGGCACTGTCAGCGAGCGAAGCTGAGTACCAACAGCTACAGCGACAGGTGAGGGACTCCTTGTGGCTCTGCACCGCAGTGGGGTTGATCCTAGTTTGGTTACATCATTGTGGGGTCTTCCTTGGGCTCTGCTTCCTCTGTGCTCTATCGGGGGGCACATTTCTCTCAAGAAAGGCAGCTTGGTCTGAGGCAGTGACAGTGTCACTGCTGAGCACGCAGCCCTGGGGACCTGAGCCCTGGATGTGCCTGCTCATTGCCCTGCCTGTGCCTCTTGTAGGACAGAGGAAGAAGCCTATCTTCCCTTGCTCACCGTGTGCTTCTTCCTGTTCCAGACGCATGGTTCAAAGCCATCAAACTGCAGCATGTCCTAGGCCTGCAAGGGCAGGGTGTGCCAGCAGATGTGGGAGCCTGCTTGTGACCTGAGGAACGGCTGTGGCCTCCCAGTTGAGTGCTGTGGAGTTCTGGCCTGGACACTGATAACAGGAGCCCTTTGCCAGGGACAGCTGATCTCCCTGGGGGCTGTAAGCAAGCTAGCAAACACACTCTGGCAACACAGCCCTGTAGAAAATCGATGCAGCAAATTGCTGACACTGCTGGAGAGGTGGAGGCTGTTGTGGAACAAGGCCCAGCACACACTGACCAAAGCAAGCAGCAGCCCATAGCGTGCACTTAGCCCACAGCTGCTGTTGCCGTGTCCTGGGGCTGCAGTGCTGGTGGGATTATGCACTGTGGATGGAGGTGAGGGCACAGCTAGCCTGCAGGGGAGGAGTTGCGTGGGGACATCTCTGTGTGCTTGGACATACAGCTGGGATGTGGCTGCCTGCTGCGCTAACAGGGGCCTGGATTTCATGCTCCAAGGAGGGTCCAGCCAACCTCTCAGCAGATGGCAGCAGTGGCTGGAAAGGTCTCTCGCTGTGGGCATGGCTCAGCTGAATCTGCCACTGTTTGGCAGTGCCCTTCCCTGCTCCCCGTGTCCTCGCTGCCTCCCCTGCTGTTTGCATGCATAAGACCACATTGGGCCTTACCCGACTTGGCTTGGGACACTTGTCTGCACAGGGCTAGGACCTCTCTGAGACCGAATGAAGGCATGTTTCCTTTCTGATTTAATTTAACAAGGATCGTGAACTGAAAAGTAACTGCAGTGGTGACTTGACTGTGCTAGCGTCACTCGTGTGGGAGGACTGCATTCCTGATGGTGGCTGCTCTTGGCTGCTCAATCTCTGCTAAACTGCCCCTGGGCCGCTACATGCTCTCCAAGCCTTGCTTCTGACCAGGGCCGATACCCGCTGGCCCCTTTGCATGCCATGGTGGTGCTGTTGGGGCAGGAACACCTCCCTCCTGTAGTCTCAACCGTGCTGCAAGCGATCTCCTCCTCGGAAACGGCAGTGCAGCACCCCAGTAGAGAACCTTGCAAATACAGCCCCAACCTTGGAGCTGCCTCCAGTGCTAGTGTTTGGGGACAGGAGCTGGCCCCCAGGTGGGAGGCTTTTGTCCTGCTGGCCTTTTTTTGGGGAGTCTCTGCAGCAAAGCAGGACGATGCTGCTTTCTCGCTAGCTCTTGCGTGCTTCCCTGCTGGAACCGCTCCTACTTCTGTGGCTGTGCTTGGTTGTGCGCAGTGGCAGGCTCTGCTTTCCCAGTCTGAGGGGTGTACCCCCAAGGGGTGGTTACCTGCTGGCAGTGTCTCCCTATGCCCGGCTGGGTGGGGGTACAGGCTGGGCTGAGGGAACGCTGGAACTTGTCAAAGTGCTGCTTGGGAGGAAATAAACATGTAGCACGGAGTTTAGAGTTGCTTTGAGAGAGCTGTAGCTCGGTACCCGTCCTGGAGCCTTGGCTCTCTGCCCCTGCCTGGGGCTGGGGGGTCAGAGCTGCTAGCAGGGGCCAGGCGGATGAGGGCACAAGGCAGTGCTGGGTTGGGGGGCAGGTTCGGGGACACACTGGGGTGAGCTGGGCACCAGCCGCGCTGCCTCCTGCTTCCTCAGCTGCAGAGCACAGCCCCTGGCCATGCCCCTACCCTTTTCAGGGGCAGGAGAGCTCAGGACAGAGGGCTCTGGTTGGGGGGGACGGGGACTGGGTATCCCCTTGTTGCTGTGTGCCTGTCCCTGGGGGTGCAGCCTGTGACATCCGCGTCTCCCTCCTGGTGGTGGCAGCTGGCAAGCTGCAGTGGTGGCAGTGACTGCACAGGTGCATTGGGGGGGGCCACAGCCTCCCCCCCTTCCCTGCCTGG